TATTCTTATCTTCTGCCCCTTTCCTAATTAGTTGCTAGTCTTTTTTTCTTAATAATGCATAAGCACTCTGTGTCATATATGTTAAAGACTTTTTTGATCCAGTCTTTTGACTTTATTTTGGTCTTTTTTTGCCATGTAAATTTAGTAATTATTTTCCTTTTGGCTTCTGGATGGGATGTTTCTTCTCTTCAAGATTATGAAAATATTCCAGTATTTTTATTTCATTTTAAGATTTTGATCCACCTGGATGTTATTTAGTAAAAGATCCAGCATTTCCTCTCAAATGGCAAGCTGTTTCAACTCCATTTATTAAGTAATTATTTGTATTACTTTGAAATGTTACTTTGATCATATACTAGCAAACCAAATATACTATTTATTTTCTGTGATCTAGTTACAGATTTCTAGGCCAACACCATAAAACTAGTATAATTTCATAAATTTTAATGAGTCCAGCCTCATCATTTTTCTTTTTTCAGATTTTTCCAGGCACTTCTGCCATGTTATTCTTCAAAATAAACTTCAGTTATTTATGAATTGTCTTCTCAATAAATAAATAACAACAAACAAAATCCCACTGATATTCTGATTAGGATTGCATCAGACTTAAAAGATCACTTAAGAAACAATACTAAGCTTTTTAAGAATATGGTACTTTTTATCTAAACTAAAAAAAAAATAACTAAAATAGGCACTCATACTTTCTTGATGAAAGTACAAAGTGGTAATATTTTATGGAGACAATGCAGAGTTTTTCTCAAAAGTTTAAATACATCTTTTGTTATTCAGGAGAAATTACATTTTCTTCATATAGGCCTTTCATATTTCTTTCAACAAATTTGATTAGCACTGGGTGGAAGTGAACGTAAAACTATAGACCCTACAAAGAGATGAGGTAAAGGAATTACCTCTGAAAAAGCCACTATTTTAAAGTAGCTTGGGATCTGCTCCAAAATAAGCAGGACAGCCAACATTTCCTTATCAAGCTTCTCTATTTTTAACAGCCAATGTCAACCTTGCTTTGGCTCAACTTATATAAGCCTCCCTGAACTTAACTTTATTGATTACAGCCATCCACTATGACACTCCTGCAAATTCCTCTAAAATAGTTCTCTAAAATTCATCCCCATTGCATACATTTTTGACTTCACAGACTTCACCTCACTTTGACTATTCAGTGAAAATTGCAGAACTTATTCTTAGAAAAATTCACACATCACATAATTTCACATATAATTCTAGGAGAGTCAGTGAAAATGCCTGCTATAAAGGGTGTCTGGATTAGAATGAACCTATTCCAGTCAGCTGCTACAATCACCTGCAGATAGGTCTACAGAGTAATTCAGGTACAATGGCACATTCATCACACTTCATATGGGGGCTTTTAAATTTAAAACTTAAAAAAAAAAATGTATACTTTATAGAAAAGTTACAAAAACAGTACAAAAGATTTTTCATTCAGATTCCTCAAAAGTTAAAACATTTAAATTTTAAGCAACATTAACTTGAGATTTTGACTATACTGCAGTTCAAGTTGCTTAAACAAGCCATCAATTTAATACCTAGGGCGTATTAATAATAATCTTAGAACAAGACCAACTTCTCATATCAACAATTCCAAAATCTCCAAAACTGAGAGATTTTTAACTCCTTCAGCAGCAAAACCTGAGTCAGTCTACAATCATTATTTACCCATTATAAAGTAAAAATTTATAGGTTTCACTGCACAAATAGTACTGTTTGATTACACAGTCCTGTCCCAGACCTATGAGGGGTGAATGGAATATATAGTAAATGTGGCATATTCCTAAGAATTTCAGTGAAGGGAATGTAAACCTTCAATGTCACTGTATATTATTTACTATGTGCCAGGTACTACTTTAGTTATTATTAATAATTCATTTAATCCTCTCAATAACCTGGTAAGTCAGATTTTGCCCAAGGTCACCTAATGTATAATCAAACAGTAGAGGCAACATGCAAATTTATATTGATCAGAGACAAAGTTATAACCAACTTTTGAAAGTTATTAGAAAAAAGTATTGAAAACTAGTCTCTTAGAATACTGGGGGCATGGGAGCTGAACAGAATTCTTTGAAAAAATTTCATTTCCCCTTCTTCCCTCTTTCCAGCAAATACCACTGCAATCATCTAAAACCTTGCTCATTTTCATGTATTCATTGTATCTTATTGCTCAGCTGATAAGATACAAATATCTCAAAGTAATTCTAAATGTCTTTATTTTTTTCTCTTAAAGGTGAAGTATAAGACACCAGAATCCTGATTCTGTCTACATTATATTAATTATATAGACCAAGAAAAGATTAGAACTATACATTCAATAAGTACATCTTCTGTATTTATCTAAATCAGTGGTTCTCAAATGGGGGTGATTCTGCCTCCTGCAGTGGACATCTGGCAATGTCTTAACAAGAAATAAAAAATCCAAGAGCTCAACCTCTCTAATAAAGCTGCCCACAAAAAAGTTTGGTAATATTCAACAAAAGTTAAGGTATAACTAAAATAGGCACTCATACTTTCTTGATGAAAGTACAAAGTGGTAATGTTTTACGGAGACAATGCAGAGTTTTTCTCAAAAGTTTAAATACGTTGTACTCTCTCTAATCCAGTAATTCTGCTTTCTAGGAATTGATCCTACAAAGAAAAGTCATGTAAGCACACAAAACAATTTGTTCAAGGCTGTTTAATACCGTGTTATTTATAATAATTTAAAAAAGACATAAAATAAGTGTTGATGAATATGAGAATAATTAAATGAAACAGGATATAGTCAAAGGTGGAATATCCTACTTAAAAATAATGAGGCAGATTTGCATTAACAAGAAAAGAGGTTCATAATATATTGCCAAATGGAAAATCTAGCTGCAGGAAAAAACGATGTGCATTTATTCATAAAAAATTCTAATTTAATGAGCAGAGTCATGTCACTTTATATAGTTTTACGTATTTTATATTATGTTTTACTTTATTACATGAAAAAAAGAGAAAACATGATTAGAAGGAAACGTTACGAAATTTTATTAGTGGTCAACTCTAGATAGTGGAATTACAGGTGATATTTTTCCTTTAAACTTTTTAATGATACAGATGTATTATTTTTACAATAGCTACTATAAACTGATTCCTTCCCACATGCCACTTACTGCCTATGTGAATGAATACACTAAAAGGCCACAACTCTATAAGGCAGCTATCATGAGCTCCATTTTGCAGATGGCAAAAGACTAAGAAAAGGATTCTAAAGCCTATTATTACACACTATGTTGCTAATCTCCTCCTAGGAAACACTAAAAATTTAAGAAAACCAATCCCAAAGCTCTATAAATTTATGAACAAAAGACTAACGCAAGAAGAATCTGATTTGCGATTTGCAGAGACCCGGGGAGTTTCAAAACAACCAAAAATATACTAAACCTGCAAAATATACTACTGAGTGTAATACTCTCGGTAAAAACTTTCCGCATACTTTCATGTATCTAGAGACACAAAAATGTTATACTTAAGGCCATCTGCTTTTCATTACTGAGAACTAATCTCTGATTACAATCATTCTGAATGGTTTCTTTCATAAAACAGGAACACATTTTGTATTTGAGAAGGCACTAATCAGTTACCATAAACTTCTAAAACCAGTTACCATAAACTTCAAATTATGTCAATTTCTAAATATGTCAGTTTCAAAACACACAAAAGAATCATCTCACGTTTGATAAACGCAAGACATTACCTCACTTTTTTTTTTTTCGAGACAGGGTCTCATTCTGTTGCCCAGACTGGAGTGCAGTGGTGCAATCTTGGCTCACTGCAACCTCTGCCTCCTGTGCTCAAGGGATGCTCCTACTTCAGCCTCCTGAGTAGCTGGGACCACAGCTGGGTGCCACTACACCTGGCTAATTTTTGTATTTTTGGTAGAGATGAGGTTTCACCATGTTGCCAAGGCTGGTCTCAAACTCCTGGCCTCAAGGGATCCACCTGCTTCAGCATTACTTTTGGAAGGTAACCAGGAAAAACGAAAAACCATTTTTACAAATATTTACGTCTTATATAAAATAAATGGATAACGTCATCTTCTAATTATGTTAACAGCTTTGAAAAGGTAGAAGTTTTACTAGAATAATGACAATTCTGATGGCTTTGTCTTTTCAATTTTTGGAAGAGTACAGCTGGAAAGGCACCGTAGAGCTGACCTGGGTCAACTCCCCATATCATACAACTGATGCCCAGAGAAAGGAAGGTGATTTGTTCAAGGCCCCACAGTTACTAAGAGGCTGGAAAGGGAGGGACTCCCTCAAGTTTTTAAAAATTTTAAATCCAAAATCTTGACTTCTGAAAGGTATTATCTGATAATTTAGTTGGCTTAAAGTACTCTGGGATCCTGTTCTCCTTTGTACTCTTGGGGACTTTTCAACCAACATTTTCAGACAGCAGCAAACTAATCTCTGTTATATTATCTGTACTCAAGAGTTCAAAGTCCCCTTCTCCATTGACAGCTTTTAAATGAAATCTTTTTTGGAAACCCAGTGGAGAAAGAAAAAAGCAGAGTTGCCTTTAAACAGTACAGAGGTCCTGCTTTTACTTGCTTTGTCCTAGAAGTCCCTGAAATACTTTCTTGGTATCTTAGGTCTCAAAGAAACAGTTTATTTCTATTGTATGAGAGTGTTCTAGGGCACTGCTATTCAAAATGTTTCTCAAACAATCAGCATCACTGATGAGCTTGTTAGAAATGCACAATATCAAACTCCAACCCAGGCCTACTAAAAAATCACAAGCATGCTTAACAAGACGCCTAGGTGACTGGTATGCACCCAGATATTTATTAGTTACATGACATACAATTGCTACAGTTATCTTGTCATGGACCAATAACAAACAGTTTAGAGAATCACATTTGGGGTAGCAATGCTCTATAGCAACCAAATCTTAAAGAATGATCCTGATCAAATCAGAACACCTGATATACTAAAAAGTTAGAAACTTACTTCTTATCAAAAAAGGTTGAATTCTCCTTCCTCTTGGTGAATCCATTGGGTAGAAGTTTTAAGTTAATACCTTGCCTTCGGGCACGATTTTTCATAAAGTACATCTAACAACCAAAACCAAACAGACAAATTAATTTTTAAATTCCTTAAATTTAAAGAGTGAGTAAAACAATGTTCAGTAATAGTTAAGATTTACTGAGAACCTAAGTGTTACAACAGCTCTAAGCAGTAACCTCATGTAATCTTCACAATGACACTATGAGAATAGGCATTATCATCTCCATTTTAGCAATAAGAATTAGTGAGATCCCAAAATCATACAGCTATCCCAGAAAGACAGAACTTGTACTCAAACCCAAGTCTGTCTAATTCCAGAGCTTGTGCTTTTAACCCGTATGTTCTATGAGCCAAAGAAGAATTTAATGGAGATTAAAACAAACAAAAACACAGGTCATTTGGCAATCACAGGGGCTACCTACACAATTCTTGATTTCTTTTACTGATGGTTTTACCAGTTAGCTGTATATATATATCTCTGATTTTATTACTAGACAGCTCACTCAAGGGAAGAGCCATGGCACTGCCTAGTACAAGGCCTAGCTTAAAGTAACCACTGTTGTGAAAAGCACAAAATGGGATATGAGAACATTCTGGCTCTGACATGTGTTATTACATTGACCACTTGGGTTGATTAAGCTAAACTGGGCAATTCCAGAATTATGAAGGAAGTAATACCAGATTTTTATTAAGTCAAGGAAGAAGAAAGATCACTCAAAGAAAAGGCAAAATATAAATGCAAGTTTTTTGTTAAGTGAATAGGGATCTAGAATTTGCAATGTAAAGTCAGAATCAAGTCATAAGCCAAAGGAAAGGATGGGTCAGCTATCATTGGCTAAGTAGGAAACTGTTTTAATAAATTACATGTAATTTTATAATTTAGAGGACTTTGGTTTCAGTGATGGTAGTGATTATTATAAATAATTATAACAGCAGTGACCAACCCTCCTAATACACCTTCAGGATAAGGGTGAACCAGAAACAATCTCTACTTTTAGAGCAAGCTAGGAAACTTGTATGGTTACACTGAAACAGAGGAAAAAAGAAAAAAAATTCATTAGCAGTTAGGGCTATGGGACATCCCTTGCTTAGATTCGCAATTATTTTGCCTTGAAAACAGCACTGAATAGCCATACTTTAGAAAAAAGGAAGTGGGAGGACTTAATCAGATAACAAGTTTCAGTAAAAAACCACAGTAATTGACAGAGCATAGTATTGGTGCAGGATATACCAGTAGGCCAAGAGAATGGAAAAGACAAGGCCACAAAATGACCCAAGCACATAGGGATGCTGATATATGACAAAGGTGGTCCTACAGAGCAGTAGGGAAAGGATGAACTTTCCAATAAATGGTGCTGGGAAAACTGGATTATCCATATGAAAAATTAAATGGGAACTCCTCTGTACATGATACCAAAAATCAATTCCAGTTAAAGACATAAGTGTAAAATACAACAGTATGAAGCTTTTAGGCAATAATTATGAGAGAATAACTTCCCAACTTCATGGTAGGGATGGAATATCTTTATAAACATATAAACCTACTAACTATAAAGGAAACAAATGATAAATTTGACTACATTAAAACTAAGAACATCCATTCACCACAAGACACTATAGAATGAAAAGACAACACAGAGACTAGAAGATATTTACAACATACAACCAACTTGCACTAGCATCCAAGCAATACCAAGAATTCTCACAAACCAGTAAGAAAAATAAAGCTGACCAATGAAAAGATGAGCAAAAGACTTGAACAGGCACTGCATAAAAGAGGAAATCCAAATGGCCAATAAAGTATTTGAAAGGTGGTTCAATCTCATCAGGAATTAGAGAACTGCACATTTAAAACCACAATAAAATTACATAGCTAACAGATTGACAAAAATTTTTAAAGTCTTACCAAACTAAGGACTGGTGAGAATATGACAACAGGTACATTCATACACTATTGGTGAGAGTGTAAACTAGTATAATCACTTTGGAAAATGTTTTGGCAACATTTAGACAAATTGAAGATATGCATACCACACAACAAAGCAATTCTATTCCCAGGTATAAACCCTACGAAAACATGTTCACATGCATACTATAATTCATAGACAAAAGTAGCGGCATTTTTTCTAAACTGTTTTTTATTCTTACAGAAAATCCAAAATCCATGAAAAAAAAAATTCATACACATATTGTGGTAGTCCTAAGATAGAAAAAAATATTAAGAAATGAGAAAAGATCAGGGAAGGGCATAAGAGGGTGGCATGGAACTTCTGGGAAGCCAGTAATGTTCTAATTCTAGACTGGGGTGGTAGTTACATGAATATTCATTTTATAACTATTCATTAAACTGTGTATTTCCATTTTGTGATTTTTAGAAAATATACATGCTATACTTCACAATTAAAAAAATTGTAAAGTAATTTATCTTCAGGGAATTTTAATTATGCCTAATTAAGTTTGAGGAAAAATAAGAGTTGCTATATGAATAATTTTCTTTCAGATATGTGTGATGTAATTATGTCTGTACCAATAATACCAATAAAACAAGGTGTTTAAAAGGTATTAAAATTCTGCAACTCCAATACTAAAATCAATACAATTCCAGGATACGATTTAACCACACCATACACGAATTTCTACAACACCAGTTGCCAAAAAATTCCAAATATGTAAACTTTAATTTTGCATAGTATTTAAGGAATTAAAAAAGGAATGTAAGAGTATGAAAATTGAGTATATTAGAAGAGCAAGTCGTGTTAGCTCTTCCTTCAAAATCAGAATCTAATCCTTTCACAATAATTCAAACAGTATAACCAAGCCACTATTATCTCACAAGGACCGTGGGAAGAGCTGCAGAATTCGTCTCCCTACTTCTAGTCTTCCACTCTTGCCCCCCTAAAGTTCACACAGCAGCAAGAGCGGTTTTTCAAAAGCCAAATTTAAGTTCAAAACCCTGCCATGGTTTCCATTTGCACTTAGAATTAGAAACCCTCACCAGTTTCTTTTCTTTTTTCTTTTGAGACAGAGTCTCACTCTGTTGCCCAGGCTGGAGTATGGGGCGCAATCACGGCTCACTGTAGCCTTGACCTTCCTGGGCTCAGGTGATCCTCCCTCCTCAGCTTCCCAAGTTGATGGGACTACAAGGGCACACCACCACATCTGGCTACTTTTTGTATTTTTTCATGGAGACAGGTTTTCATCATGTTGCCCAGGCTGGTCTTGAACTCCTGAGCTCAAGCAATGCTCCGGCCACAGCCTCCCAAAGTGTTTGGATTACAGGAATGAGCCAGTTACTCTAACCTCATTTTCAATACTCTCTTCCTCACTCACTATGCTTCAGTTACCTTGCCAATCTTTTAATTCCTCAAACCAGACATCCTTGTTTCTGACTCAGGTCTTTCCTTTTACTTTTGTCCCTACTTGGAATAATCTTCCTCCAAATGTTTACATGACAGCTTCTTTCTCAGCATTCAGATCACTGTTTACATATCATCTCTTCTCCTGACCACTGTATCAAAAATAGTACCCTCACAGGAGAAGCTTCTCCTGACCACTGTGTCAAAAATAGTACCCTGACAATCTCTCCCCAACAAAGACCATTTTCATTCTCTCTTTAATCTCTTGAGCCTTCTTTATCTTCTATATGAACTTAACTCTATCTGAAACTACATTTGTTCTTCCACTCATCTCCTGTATCTCCCACTAAATACAACTCCACGAGGGGACAGACTTTGTTTGGGTCACAGCCATATCCTTAAGTAATCAGAACAGCTCTACATCATGGTAGCCACTTAATATATATTATTTGGTAAGTTAAAAAAAAACAAAAAAAGAATCTAATTGATTTGAAGGACTTCAAACTGGAAGAAATTAGGAAAAAATCTTACATGTTTATTGCTTATTGGTCTTTTCAAAAAGGCATCTCTAGAAATATGGTCCGCTGTTCTTGCCACATCTTCCAAAAATCGATAATCTAAAAATTTCAAAACAGAAGAATAAACAAATGACATACACCAATGGCCAGAAAGCCTCAATTTGCTATGGCTTACCACTTAGGAGATTCATTTCAGTAAACTGTTGTATTGAAACGTATGCAGTTTTATCTCGAACTCCATTACATGTCAGTTCTGCTTTGTGCTTCTTTACACAGGGCAAACTGAAAAGACAAAGGGGAAGTACTTTTATACTTTAGGGTAAGAAAGGTACAGATACAGGTTAAAAGGTAGGAAGTTACATGTATACCTGCAGGAATATCGCATACAACGTGGACATCTGTACTTTGCTTCTTCTGTACCACAAGTTTCACACCTGCAAAAGCCCACATGTAACATTAAATTTCCAAATATTAACTCTATTTGTTTATAAACTTAGAATGTCCCAACTTATAAACTTAGTGACAAGTAACTCTGAAAAAATATTTGATAGCTGTTGAACATCATTTGAAAATTCTTCTCTATGAAACCCTCCCAAAACAACTACATTTCCAATGTTGTTAGTGACATGTAACTCAGGAAAATGTATTAAAATTTTTAAAACCCATCTCGCTTTTGACTTCTTTTTCTACTCTAATCAGGGAATTAGATTATTCACTGATATTTTAACTTGTGATTCCTGGAAATGTGGTAATGATTGTATGTGTGTGTATCCAGGAGTCCAATCCATGAGCTATGTTTAGATATTTTTAAAGCACACACCAGAAAAAGACTATAAGGCCAAGTGAAATTTAGAGAGTAGTAGTAGCATCTTTTTTCCTGAACTCCACACCTAATCTAGAATGAGCATCGAAATAATCTATAAATGCCATGTAACCCATCATCTGTCCTCAACTGCTCTTCTATGCTCTTGGGATACTGACAACCAAACTACAGTTACTTATATTTAGCCCACTGTGTTCTAGACGGTAATATTCCCAAGAATCTGACTACTCTTATTTCCTTTGTCACATGATCCACACACTAAGGAAATTAAATCAAAAGCAATAAATATTCACAGCACCCATGCAGAAGCTTGATAATTGAGGTCAAGTGTAATTTTGCCTAATTTTAACTTACTCTACGTTGTCATTGTTGGTTTTATTAGACTTTCTCATCTCTATTCTCTCTCAAAGGAATACCGAGTAAAGAGCATATTAAGTCAAGCCAGATCCAGTTCCAAATGATCTTTTGGTCCCCAGAATTTTCACTTTCCTAACTTGCCCATTACCCATTGGACACTACCAACTTCATATATTTTCACTGAATTTGTCGTGTTGTCATCTACAACACCCTCCACTTCCCAACCCACCCCCACGAACGCCATCTGACTCCAGAAACCCAAACTTGTGCTTATTTTTCATTATTCCACCTTCTCCTGATAGTGTGGTTTCCTTCACTCTAGACATGAGGATTCCACAGCTTTATTCCCCTAAATGGAATTCCCCATGCCCTACCTTGACATGGCCAGTTTCCGCTTGCAACCCACCGGGTGATTTATCGGAGGCTCTTCTTTCACCTTTGTATCATCCACGGTTTCTTTCTTCAGGAAATCCTTCTCTTCTTTTACACACTCTCCATGCATCACTTCCTCTTTTATGTATTGACCAACAAACTTCCCCTCCTGTTTTATCTCCGAGTTATCCTTCTCTTCCTTCACTTCTGACCAGTCCATTACCTCTTCCTTTACCTTCTCTTCCTTTACCTCTGGGTCACCCACCTTCGCCTCTTTTACCACTAAACTACTATCCGTCTCCTGCTTCACCTCCAATACGCCTGCGTTCTCATCCTTCACCTCAGACCTATCCTCCACCTCCTGTTTTACCCACTGGCCAGCCAATCTGCCTTCTGTATCTGGCCAGTCCATAATTTCTTGCTTCACTACTGTTAGGTCCATCGGTATTTCCTCTGGCCTTTGTCCACTTCCTTTCTCTCCATCCCCTATCTCCTTCATCCCTGTCAGCCCTTTCCCCGCTTCTCCTCCGCCGACCTCCTCCGCCCGTGCTAAGTCCCTCACTCCCTCACTGCCAGGCTCTGGACTTAGCCGCACCCCCTCAGCTACGCTGTGGAGACCTCCCCCAGACTTCCCTTCATTTTCAGCAGCAAACTCCATCAACTCACGATACTTGGCCTCTGTTGCCACCCTATCCTTCAATGTGGCTGCCGCACACCAACAGGAGGAATTACCGATCGGAATACCTACGGCGGCCCACGTGTGGAGCCAGGTAGCCAAAAGCCCGGAATAGTCAGCTTGACGCGACTGCTCGAATCGCCGTAAAGCAACGCTTTTGCGCCTCGACACTTCACGACTTGTAGAACTCTTTACGGCTCTGCGGAGGCCCTGCCGGATGCTCTGGGCCAACAAGCGTAACTGCGTGACTTGCCCAGTGGTATTCTCGTCTCCCGCCTGGTTTCCACTACACCCTTGCCCTAGGGAAGCCTCCTGGGCCACACCCTAGGCCACCCTGCACGTCCTACTCGGTGTAAAGAGTGGAGGAGACCGGCAGAGGGAGAGAAGCGAAACCCTTACACTCTGGAAATGGGAAAACCCACCCTCATCTGTGTTAACCATTAAATCCAATCTTGTATGAAAATAGACACACCTGATGTTACGCCTTAACAAGCTTTAGTTTCTTAAAGCTATAAACTAGGGACTATGGTATTATTAATACAAATCTCAGTGTCATTGCGAAGATTATGAGATCATGCATGGGAATTAACTAGCAGTGACGGACACAAACTCAATAGATAACTGGGAATCCTGATGGGTTTCAAGTAGGAAAGAGGGCATTAATTTTTGTTTCCATTCTTTCTAAGTAACAGCCTGACGCAGGCATTCTGCAGGATTCTGCAGCATTTTGCAGGATTCTCTCAGAGAACATCATAAATATATTAGGTGAAAGTGCATAATGCCCGATATTGCTGAGTTGCATTGTATGAATTGCATTGTATGAATGTGGCACGTTTTTTCATGCGTGTACCAGTTGGTGGGCATTTTCCTTGTTTCCAGTTTGGGCTATTACGAACAATTCTGCTTCCACATTCCTATACAAGTATTTGTGTGGACGTGTTTACATTTCCCGTAAGTAAATAACTAGGAGTGGAATTGCTGGGTCATATAAATTTATGTTAATTTTTAAAGAAATGCCCAAACTGTTTTCCAAAGTAGCTATACCATTTTACATTCCCACTGGCTGAGGGTTCCTGTTTCTCTACATCCCTGCCAATTCTTAGTATTATCAGTTATTTGATCATAGATGTGTAGTGATACGTCGTTGCGAATTTAATTTACATTTCGTTGTTATTAAATTACATTTCTTTAATGACTAATGATGTTGAACATCTTTTCATGTTCAACTGGCCACTTAGATATTTTCTTTAATGAAATGTTTATTCAAATCTTTTGCTCCTTTTTCATTGACGTCTTTTATTATCAAATTATAGTAGTTATTTATATATTATGCATATCAGGCACCAGTATGTTCCCCAGTGATCCTCCCACCCCCACAGTGTTCAGACCAACGTGTAGACTGCTCCTGCATCATCCCAGGATTGGTCTGTGTTACTGATAGCATACAGCAGAAGTAATACGTTACCTCTAAGATTAGGTTTGGAAAAAGGCTGTGGTTTCTGCCTTAGGCTCTTGCTCTTTTGTTCTCCTTCCTAGATCATTCACTCTGGGGGAAGCAAGCTGACAGGCTGTGAGTACCAAGAGGCCCATGTGGCAGTGGGCCGAAGTTACTGGCTCTTACAGACTGAATTGTGTCCCCTCAAATTTGTGTGTTAAATCCGTAACAGCCAGTACCTCAGACTGTGAGTGTATTTGGAGATAGAACCTTTTAAGGTGATTTCATTAAAATGAGACCATTAGGGTGGGCCCTAATCCAATCTGACTGATATCTTTATAAGAAGAGGAAATTTGGACACAAAAAGAGACATGAGAGAGGCCTGCAAAGAGAAAAGACTATACAGTGGTACAGTGAGGTGGCCACTTGCATGCCAGCTAGAGAGGCCTCAGAAACAACAAGACTGGTGGTGACAACTTATTTTGGAGTTCTAGCGTCTAGAACTGTGAGAAAATAAATTTAAGTTACTCAGTCTGTGCTAGTTCATTATAGTGGCCTTGGTAAACTAATGCCCTGGTCAACGATCAGCAAGGAATTTCAGCCTGTCAACAGCATATGAGTGAATTTGGAGGAAGATTCTGTAGTCCTAGTCCAGTTTTACATGACTGTGGCTCTGGCCAACAGCTGCACCCAGATTCCGAACACTCAGAAATTGTGGGAAGGGATAAATGTTTCTTGTTTTAAACTGCCAAATTTCTGGATAATTGATACAAAGCAATGCATAATTAATACCAATTCCTTGTATGGTTTGCAGATACTTTTTCCCAGTTTTTGGCTTTTCCTTTTCTCAGTTGTGTCTTTAAAAGAGCAAAAAATTTGCACTTCAATTAAATTCAGTTTATCAAGTTTTATTTTTATTTTTTGTGATGGAGTCTCACTCTTGTCACGCAGGCTGGAGTGCAATGGCGTGATCTCTGCTCACTGCAACCTCCACCTCCTGGGTTCAAGTGATTCTCCTGCCTCAGCCTCTCGAGTAGCTGGAACTACAGGCAGGTGCCACCACACCTGACTAATTATTTTTGTATTTTTATTAAAGATGGAGTTTCACCATGTTGGCCAGGCTGGTCTCAAACTCCTGACCTCAGGTGATTCACCCGCCCCCAAAGTGCTGGGATTACAGGTGTGAGCCACTGCACCCGGCCTCTCAATTTTTAAATGAATTTTTTGTGTGTGTCACACTAATAACTTTTTGCCTAGCTCAAAGTTGCAAAGAGATATTTCTCCTATATTTTCTAGAAGTTTTATAGTTTTAGCTTTTGTATTTAGGTCTGTGATCCATTTTGAGTTGGCTTTTGTATCTAGAGTCATCCCTCTGTTTCTGTGGGGGACTGGTTCCAGGACCACCACAGATCTGAGAATGCTCAAGTTCTACAATCTGCCATCTGCATCCATTGTTTCACATCTGTAGGTTCCACCAACTGTGGACATTTGATCCACAGTTGGTGGAACCCACATGTGGTAGAACTAAGGATATCATCCATAAGGTGGACAAGGTAATGGTTTAAGTTTCTTTTTTTTACATATGGATATCTTATTGTCCAAGCACCGTTTGTTGAAGCCTATTCTTTATCTTTGAATTGCCTTGATATTTTAAAAAATCAATTGACCACAAAGATAAAGATTTATTTCTGGACCTTATATTCTGTTTCATTGATCTATATGTCTATCCTTACACAAATACCACACTTTATTATGATTTTATAGTAAGTCCAACTTTCTTTTCTTTTGAAAATTGTGTTGGCTATTCTTGGTTGTTTGCATCTCTGTATATTTAGTGCCAGCTTGTCAATTTCTACAAAAGAACTTGGGATTTTCATTGGGATTGTGTGGAATATATAGATAAGTGAGGGGAGGATTGTCATCTTAACAACATTGTGTCTTATCCATGAAAACGGAATGCCATTCATTTATTTAGATTGTCTTTAATTTACCAATGCTTTGTAGTTTTCAGTGTACAAGTTTTTACGTATCTTTTGCTAAATTTATTCCTATTTTATTCTTGATGTGATTTTTTCTTTAAATTGAGACAGGGTCTCCCTCTGTCACCCAGGCTGGAGTGCAGTGGCACAATCATGGCTCACTGCAGCCTTGACCTGGTTTCAAGCTATTCTCCCACGTCAACCTCCCAAGTAGCTGGGACCACGGGCGCATGCCACCATGCCCAGCTAAATTTATTTTTGGTATTTTTTTTTTGTAGAGATGGGGTTTTGCCATGTTGCCCAGGGTGGTCTCGAACTCTGGGGCTCAAGGGATCCGCCCACCTCAGCTTTTCAGAGTGCTGGGATTACAGGCATGAGCCACCGCACCTGGCCTTGATATGATTTTAAATGAGGATTACTCATTTAATTTCATTTTGGATTTTTCATTGCTAGGTTGCAGAAATAAAATTGATTTTTGTATTTTGATTTCATATCCTGCAACCTTAATAAACTCAAATGTTTTATAATATCTCAACATAATTGGATTCAATTAACTTATATTTTGTTTAGGAGTTTTCATCTATGTCTATGAAGGATATTTATCTGTAGTTCTTTCTTCTTGTAATGTTGTTAGGTTTTGTTATTAGAGTTTTCTGCATACCTTTTAACTTTTATGTTTCCCATCTCTTTATTGCTTCCAGATACTTTCTGGGAGGCAATTTCTACCTTACTATTTTGGTATTTGATGGTATGCAATCTGTTAGTCAACCTATCCACTAAGTTCACTTCAATCACTATGTTTTTCTTAACCATTGTCTCTAGCTTATTATTGCTTCATATTTCTAATATCCCTCTTTATCTCTCTGAAAGTATTCGTTTAACTCATTTTATTTATTTATTTATTTATTTATTTATTTTTTATTATTTTTTTTTGAGACGGAGTCTCGCTCTGTCGCCCAGGCTGGAGTGCAGTGACGCGATCTCGGCTCACTGCAAGCTCCGCCTCCCGGGTTTATGCCATTCTCCTGTCTCAGCCTCCTGAGTAGCTGGGACTACAGGCGCCTGCCACCACGCCCGGCTAATTTTTTGTATTTTTAGTAGAGATGGGGTTTCACCGTGGTCTTGATCTCCTGACCTTGTGATCCGCCCGCCTCGACCTCCCAAAGTGCTGGGATTACAGGTGTGAGCCACTGCGCCTGGCCTATTTATTTATTTTTTAGAGATGGAGTCTCGCTCTGGTTGTCCAGTCTGGAGGGCAATGGTACGATCTTGGCTCACTGCAACCTCTGCCTCCTAGGTTCAAGTGATTCTCCTGCCTCAACCTCCCCTGTAGCTGGGATTACAGGTGCCCGCCACCATAGCCAGCTAATTTTTGTATTTTTAGTAGAGACAGGGTTTTTCCATATTAGCCAGGCTGGTCTTGAACTCCTGACCTCAGGTGATCCACCCACCTTGGCCTCCCAAACTGCTGGGATTACAGGCGTGAGCCACCATGCCCAACTTTTGACTTATTTAAAAATCTTCAGTTTTTTGCCCATTAATTCTGTCCCTCCAGCATAAATTATCCAGTTTTAAAAAATCTTTTGGAACTACACTCCAGATTTTATAATATTTTCTCTGGAGAGCTATTCCTTTGAGAGTATTAGCAAGCATAGTTGTAATTCATATTTGGAAGGTAGGATCAAAAGCATAGGACTTGGATTGTAACTCTTCTGGTCATTCTTTCAAATGTGGAGGGTAAGCAGAAGAGTCGATGAGCATCATGGTAGAAAACCTCTGGTGTTACAATCCAGGCTCCACTAGCCCCAGTCTGCCCTCCTATGAAGAGCATACGCCTCTCAGGTTAACTTCTAGTACTCCCACTTTGTCATCCCATTTCCAAGAGCTGCTGTCATCT